TCTTGTCAACCCCTTTATGAATAATTTTCTTCCTCTTTCTGTTGATATTATTGATTTAAGTACCAGGTTCATGTTTGGTTAACTATTCCTTTCTGTTGATTGGTTACTGTTGCTCCTATCCATTTGGTACTTTCGCATAACAAACTCATTTGTAGCACTTGATTGAAGTTTTTGGATAATCTTCAACTAATCATTTCAAGTCAAGCATGCTCCTATATTCTTCCTAGCCTCGTAGTATTGTATTCACTTCATGAAAGAGTTTAAGGATCGAAACCAATGCTTTTCTGGATAAAGTATTGGCAGCTGTAGTATTTTATGGTAGTAGGATTTACATTCATACCATTCTAAACCTTATAACTTACATGTCTGAGACCTTAAAACCACTGTTTACCTTCCAAAAATAAAAAATCTTAGAAGGCATCATAATTTCCGCCTAAATCAGTCTTTCTACTTCCCTCTCTGCACCAAAGTCTTCGCAAAAGCCAAACTTAGTGCAACATTTGCGATGGGCAACTTTAATTTTTGATCCTTATGATCATCTAAAACCCGTGGGCGGATAGAGAGCATTGTACGAGGTGATCAAGGGGTTGACAAGATCTCGGAGAGCATGAAAGGCTTACGAGCAAGAGAGTTGAAAAAAGAAGTCAAACTCAACATATGGTCTTCAATATTGTCTCCATTGTCAGTTTTTAGAGAACATCGGCTTCTCTAATTTCTTTGAGCAAAAAAATGTCTATTTACTTGTTCGAAACCATTCTACTTGCATGCTTCCAAAGCACTCTATTTAATTTCACTACTGAAATTAAGGTTGTTTACAATTTGTACCATTTTTCTTTCCATTTTTGAAGTATGATTTTCATCTTTATGCTTGTGTTTAATATCCTATAAATTTTTATTTTGTTTTCGCATGAAGGTTTTTTTATTCTAATGATCTTTTCATTGTGAATACACTTTTTAAGAGTTATGACGGTGGAGGTAAAGAAGTTTTTTGCTAAGTTTAAATTTGGTGGTTTTTGGAGTGTTGTTACAAATAATAATAGAAGAAAGTATGAAGGGGAAAGCTAAAAATTATTAAGTTTGGAAAAGATGTGCTTAATTTTCGTATACTCGCTAAATTGATTGAAAGGATTTGCACTACGGATGAATGAAAATGGCGAGATAGCCTTTTGAAAGTGGTCAAGCTGAGATATTTATTAAATACTAAGATTGTCAAAGATTGAAATAAGTTTTGATGTGAGACATTATAAATATCAGTGGCATGCTTTCTATCAACATTTAATTTTTTATGATATTGAAGATCGTCTCAATGTGCTTAAAACATATAATTTGGGTCTTTGTAGAGTGGACATGTAGATTTTATAACTGTCTGTTGCTACCTATTTTGTTAACTCTGATATTTTAGTTTCTTTGCTCGAAAGCATTTATAGAGTACTTTGGAGTGTAGATTAACACATGACAGGATACGATTTGTAACTATTTTCTTGCACTCAGGTTGTCCATAGAGAGTTAAAGGTGTCGTTGTGTGTGGATCAGTGGATGGCCAAACATTGTAAGTGAGAATGTTTGAAGCTTCACATCATTGTCCTTGATAGAATCAGGAATAAGCAAACCACATGTATTTGGGGTGTCCATGACAAATAAGATATGATTAAGAGATTGCTAAAAATTTCGCTAAAACAAATAAGTAATAGTATAGAGACGACATTTAGCTTTCCACTTTCATTTGAAATTATGGCGTTCAAGAGAGTTAGCTCATGATATTATTTTTAGTCCAGCCCACATTGTTGGCTCTAACAATACCAACAATGGTGATGATAACTCTTCCAAGAGATTTTTTAAAGTTTCAAGGCAATTGTCAATAATTTTCTTATTGATTGCAGATCTTAATGTGTAATTTAAAATCAAAATATTTATTATCTATAGATCTATTAGAGGGAATAATGGTATATTTATCTTACCATTTGCAGGCATTGAAAACGAATCTTGAAAACATGTGGGAATGTATTTTAGAGAATTTATATGACGTATTTGATTCTAAGATTGCACCTTTAGCATTCATTTCATTTATCGGGAAAAGGTTGGGACAAGCTATTGGAAATGTTTTTCTAAATGCCAAGCATAGAGTGGAAAAAGATTAACAAGTACTACAACTTTTATGATAGCCACAAGATTTGACCTATTATAGATCACTTGAATTGTTGCGTATCGGCCTTCATGTCTATTTTTATCTTCTCAATATGTCATATTCATGATCAAAATTGATTTCTCGCTTGAGATAATAAATCATTATAATACAAACAATATGGTGGAATAATTTCTCTAATAGTGGAGAGGCTAAAGGAAAACTAGTAGTTGATTTGGTTGATATGATTAGAAAAATGTTGATGGAGCAAAGAGCTAAATGAGAAATGAACATATTGAGATAGAGGGGAGAGTTAGTTCCTTTCCTTGAAGAATACCTCCGAAAAATAACCATCAATAAGGAGCAAATTATCATATTATGATTGATAACATACAAGGCCGATGTTGGAGTTTATTATGGAAGTTATGAAATAGATATTGAGAACAAAATATTTAGTTGCAGATATTGGCAAATATTTGAGGTACCATGTATTCATGCAGGGGTTTTCATAGTCACTAAAAAGAGTCTCTTGTGGCACGCATAAATATGTCGATGATCGATATGACATCTGCAAGTGATGTTTTCTTGTGTAGCATTTTCTCCCCCTCAAGTGATACTAACGTGGCTGTACTTGTGACAGGTATAGCACGGCTTACAAAATTGCTATATCAACTCTATGGGGAAGAAATAGTGGAATGTGACTACCAATGACATGCAAAAAGTGATAAAGTACATAAATGCTGTTAATGTGAGCTTTTGGGGTCATCAAAGAGGCACCTGCAAAAACCCTGGAGTCAAGTGTCACAATGTATGAAGTTGGGCAGAATTTTCAAAAAAAGCTTAGATCCTAGTTTCTAGGTAGGGGAGTGGGAATGGAAAATTAAAATTTAAGCATATGTATTCAAACATAAATTTTTTGTTTTGTTTAGAAATTTGTGTACAGGTAGAATCTTCAAGATACTTACTAGATGGTTTTTTGTAAGCATTCAAAATGCAGTGTGGAAACAAACTGTTTAAGGCTTTTGTACACATTTGGGCTTCAAGGTATATAAATGATTTTGGGAAGGACATTTTATTTCCTGTAATATATGTAACTGCCGTTTTAATATAGAATTGATGTATTTTATTGGAAGCATATACCTACAATTTGTATATGCAATACATTCTTGTTACAATCATATAACAGCATGTATTCTGTTCATTTTGTACGTAAACTCTCATCAGCCTTCTCTTTTGGGATATGAAATAATCATTTTCTGCGGAAACTTGTGACTACAATTCTGTGAAGAGCTTAAATAAAAAGTAGTAGAGAACTCATGCACAACGGGCTCTAAATCATGTTGTCATTCCGCTAGTTATTTATTTGAAGCTGAAGAGTTATGAGATCTAATAAAAAAATAAACAAATATGTACTGATGGTAAAAGGGTAATTTATCCAAAACAATGCAACTGAGTTCAGACTTTTTTTTGCTGCAACTCTGCAAGTTTATTTGAAGCTGTTGATTAATGACCATGCACAATCACAGATTACAACATGCATGCATTATTTTTCCTGCCACATGCATTACTTTACCTTAAAATCAAAATGCATCACTAGTTTCTATCACGTGCTCCACTTGATTGATGGTAAGTGATTGATTTCCCCTTGATCTCAAGTAATTTACTGTACAGGCGTGTGTTGTAAATCCCCGTTTATCATATTATACCACTAGAGAATCACAGATTACAGCATGCATTATTGGTTCCTGCCACCTGCATCACTGTGATATCTTTCCACTTCCTATACCTGCTTCACAGAGAAACTATTATTTTGATTTCAAAACGCATCACTTGTTTTTACCGCTTGCTTCACTTGATTGATAGTAAGTGATTGATTTCCTCCTGTCCTCAGGTAATTTACAGTGCAAATGCTACATAATTATAAGTTTTAGAGTAGTATGTATGTAAATCCCCCTTTATCATATTTTACCACTAGATTTTATTTCTTATGAATCGTTTAAATTAAAAATTTATCATGATACTGGTTTGGTTTCCTTTCTCTCTATGCATTGTACCAAGTCTATGCTGTTATATTGGAGGATTTGATCGCTGAAATGGTACTCTGCACCATAACTGTGTAATAGAATGATTGACCATACTCTGTGTAACTAACTAAAGAGGGTTTTAGAGTACAAAGTTATTTGCATGAATTTGTTGCTTTGGGTTCATGCTTTCATTTATTAATGTGTTCGTATACAGAAGAAATCTGCCTTCGAACACATCAGATTACATGATTTTAATGAGTATTCCTTTTTAAATCTTTTTTTTTTCATTCCCATAACTTCTATTCTTCCAAAGATAGATAGATATATATATATATATATATATATCTATATATATATATATATATTTGTATATATTCTCATACTAAATGATCGGTTAGTCTTTACAGCTACGTGGGCTTTACAAACTTCCCTTTGATGGACTTGAAGTGTTCTAATTCATCTTGTTAAACACTTCTGGTTACAATGCACATGCACAGCCATGCACGCATGTATTTTACACGATTGAGAACTGATTCAATTGAATTTTAGCATATTGCTGACAACAGGCTATAATTTTTTATTATATGTTTGAATGGGGAAGCATATACAAAAAAATAAATAAATACCTTATTGTCTGGTGTCTTACCCTCTTACATTTATCTCTTTCTGTGGCTAGAGGTAGTTCAGATATCTGTCATGAAAATCAGGATCAGCTGTAATTTAATTTATTTTTAATTCATCCAATTCTGGTTTATTATTTTCCAAAACTTTCTGTCTGTTATTTTTTCTTATTGGTCGCTTTTATTATTTCTTGATAATAGCTATTTGATTTTTAATTTGTTTTTTTTTTGCAGAGCATATTGTTTGTCTAATATAGAAAAGAGCAATAATAAATCATTACCAAGGGAAGTAGACAATTTAAACACCTTGTAATGGCTGAAAAGATGAAGAAACGGATATCAAAATGGGACATGGCAGCAGAACAACATGTGGAGGCTGTTGTCCATGGCAGTGATTTGCCCACTAATGTTGATGATCCTGTTATGGATCTCACAGAAGTGGATTCCATAAAGCCCATCCTATCTATGAATGTAGGCGTCTCTGAAATAAATCAATCTGCCAATCAGTCAGGAGAGGAAAGAATCAGCAATATTATACATTCAGATGATATTTTTGAAAAGACTCGATACTCAGAGCGGCTGGATCTGGAAGGTGGTTGTAAAGATGATCGGCAACCTGTCTCTCAAGACACAATCATGGCGGAGTATGCAGAGAATCAGGATAGACCACCCAAGGCAGCATATGATATGTCACCTGGTTATGAAGAAAAGCACCGGAGTAACCGCATTGTGTCTCAAATTGATGACCGAAGTAGGTCACATAGGTAATTCTTTTTTCAGAATGATGAATGTTAATCAGTTCAATCTTTTCATTGGGTGGAGGTGGTGGAAGCAGGATTATCTCAAAGGGCATAAGCTGATTTTTTTAAGTCATAAATATGTTGAGCATAATTCCATTTTCACAATCAGCGTGAAAAAGTTGCAATGTGTGATTTATATAGATTTGTATTTGGTGCAAGTTGCAAATGACATTTTTATTTGTGACACATGTGCTCTTCGTAAAGGTTTCGATTTAAGATTTGTTTTGGTGCGAAGTAGTTAGTGCGTAATTTCATTTTCATTGCCTAATCCCGAGTTCCTGCTGTTTAAAGTGAATTCTAAAACTGACCGCATGTACTTTGCCAAATGCTTTGAACTCTCTAAAAACGTGACTTGGTCTTCATTACAGCGTTGCACTAGACTAGACACATAATTTTAATTTTTGAATTTTTTTAAAGGCATTGCTGTTGCTTTGCATCTAACAGGCGAGTCCATTAATTATGTCTACTTTTCCGTGGAAATTGCACTGAAAAAAAAAATGAATGAAAAATCAGAATTCACAAAACTGATCACAAGTAGTTTGGATAAAATCAATAATGACCTGTTTTTGACACCCGATGTGGGATGCGCATGTTTTGATTTAATAGTAAAAATAATAGAAAACAATAGAATTATTATTTGGAGCGCATTTTTAGCGGGTGCTCTGTACATGTGATATTAATGACCCTCTTGATACTTCGTGGAAACACTTTATAAATCTTATATTCATGTTCAAGCAATATTTTTCTCTTGGAGTTCTTTCTTTCCAGCATATTTTCTCTCTTCATCAATGAGGTTTAGCTTTCTTGCATAACAACTAAATTTTATTCTTTACTTCACTTGACTTAGTAATACTATTCAAATGCTATTGACTTCTCATGACTATATTTACTTTATTTATTATATTTTCTTTTCTAAAAATTTAACTTGTGGCATAATTGTGTGTAGAGAACTGATTTGGAAAGGAATAATTCTTTTTAATTATCCTTTTCATGTGTAGGGTACATATCTAGAGAGAAATTTATTTCTACTAATCTACAAACTTACCAAATATATCTAACGTAAATTAGGAAAGAAAATAATTTTGAAATAAAAATAAAGTAACATAGAATAGGAAGGAATAAACTAATGTAGGGTTTCTTAAGTTGTCGGAATCAAATCCTCTAAAAGATATTGTCATATTTCCACTCTCCATCAAGTTGTGTCGTAGATATTCCAAATACCAAGCTTAGTATTGAACTTTGAGAAGCTCTTTAAAGAAAAAGCTTTGGTGAATATATTAGTAACTTGTTGGTGTGTCGAGATATAGCTTAGTTGTATAATCCCCCATTAACTTTTTCAGAGATGAAGTGTCTATTAACTCCAATATGCTTGGCTTTGTCATGATGCACATGGTGCTTGGCATTACTGATAGGTTCTTGCCTAATACAAAACATTTTTTTAGGCCTATTGGAGTTACATCTCAGTTACTTTAACAATTTTGAATTCATATATCTTCACAGATTACCAAGGTGATTGTCTTATATTATGATTTTGCAGTGCTTTTAGAACCCATACATAGAAGCAATAATGAACCTTCTGTCAGTGAGTTCTGTAGCCCAACTAGCATCAGTATAGACTTCCTCATCTCTGTTTCTGGCTTTTTTTAAAATTTAATCCATAACCAAGATTTTCATTGAGATATCTCAAAATTTTGTACACCGTCTCCAAATACTCGTCATTGAGGCTATTCATGTTTTGGCTCACTATACTGATAGGATATGCAATATATGGCCTCGTATATGACAGATATATGAATTTTCTACCAATCTTTGATATTTTGCTTTATCCACAGACACATATTCTTGACCCCTTTTGACATGTGGTTGGGATTCATTGAAGTATCAATTGGCTTAAATCCAATCTTCCTTTTTTCTTTTAGTAAATCTAGGTTGTATTTCCTCTCTGATATAACGATGTCTTTCTTGGAACTTTGCTATCTCCATACCCTAAAAAATACTCTCATGGTTTCTATGTCATGAATTTCAAATTCCATGGAAAAAACTTATCATGTCGTCCACATTTAATATTATTGTAACAATCTTACTTTTCTGAGTGTGTTTTACTGAGTATGATCAGTTTGATTTTGAGAATTCCTATTAGATCTCATAGTTTTAGCAAACCTTTCAAACTACGCCCTTGGTGAATGCTTATGCCCATTGAGAGATTTCCTGAGTTTGCAAATTAGGTGTTTGTAGGAATCATTCTCAAGTTTTGGTCGCATCTCCATATTCACTTTTATCCATATCCCCATCAGAAAGTCATGTTTTATATCAAGTTGATGCAATTTCTCATTTTTTAGTAATTGCTACTGAGCGGAGAATTCTGATAGTGTTAAGTTTGGCAACTGATGCGAAGATCTCTTGATAGTCGATCATATATGCTCGAGTAAACCCTTCTGTAATAAGTATGGCTTTGAATCTTTCAATACCCTCATCAACTTTGCATTTGATGTTGAACACCCATTTGCAGTCAATCGGCTTCTTATCCCGAGAGAGCTTACTAAGAATCCATGTACCATTAAGCTTTAGTGCTCGAATCTCTTCTTCACCTGCTTTCCTCATTTTTAGATTTTCAAGAGCTTCATGACTAGATTTATTAGGAATCAGAATACTATCAGGGTTAGAATCAAAATTTTTGTAGGATTTCAAAAGCTTCTCATAAGCTATATACTCTTGAATTGGATATCTAATTCAGCTTTCATCGTTGTCGACATCAGAAGAGGACTGGGATAACTCATGAGTAATAGACTCCTTACCCAAAATTTTAGGTAAATGCAGACTCGAATTTTGGTTTGAGCAGCTCTATCCTTGTAAGTTGTCTTCCACCTGCTTAAGTTTTTTCTTCCTCCTCCTATACACAAAAGTTCTTTGTTCAAGGCTTTAAGTTGGGTTTATTGCGTTGGTTGGACATACTCAATCATGATAGGAGGGCTTGGTGGAGTGGGTGATGAGTTTGTGTTACTTTCATCAAGTACATCCCAATATTGTTATTCACTTGCTCTCTTTTGAACATCAAATTTAGAGTAAGATCGATTTAAAAAAAAAAAGTGACATCCATGTATAATTTTTTGGTAACTGGAGAGTGACACTTAGTAAGAATCCATGTACCATTTGTGTTGGTGGCATGCCCAAGAAAAATACATTTGATAGGTTTAGGTCAAGTTTTTTGCGATTTTGGGAATGGACATGAATAAAGGATACACACCCAAAGATTTTAAGTGATATTAGTACAAGAGAAAGCTCTTATGTGAGGATAGGTACCCATCAAAACATGGAGAGGTGTTTTGAAGTTAAGTAACCGGCTATGCATTTGATTGATAAGTTATGTTGTATTAAGAACTGTTTCCCCCATAAATATTTTGGAACTTGATGAGATATCATAATCGCAAGGGATACCTTAAGAAGATGTCTATTATTTGTTGTGGGGTATCAATACATGAACTCACATGGATAATTTCAAATTTTTTTTTAAGAAAGGATTTAAGGATGTAATTGAAATATTCTTATATATTATCAGTTTTGAGGATCTGAATTTTACATTAGAATTGAGTTTGAATCATATTATGAAAGGTTTGATAGGTTTGGATTGTTTTGAACCCCATATTATATGTTCTAGTTCTTGTGTGATCGTTAATAAATGAGACAAACTATATAGCTCTACTGATGGTTTTCACTTTTAAAGGTCTCCAAATGTCACTGTGGATGATGGAAAAAGGGTGTGAGGGTTTATACTGGGTCATGAGATAATATTTTTAGTCTGTTTGTCAAGTTGATAAATCTCACATTAATATGAACTTTGTAAATTAAAAGTAGGATGACCTAGACGACAATTTCATAACATGTCTTATATTTCGACAGATAAAAAGTCAATAGAAATTTGAGGTAAAAAATGAATGTGGATCTCGTACAGTAAATTTTGTAGGTCTCGGTCGATGGCCAGAGGCCGCAAGCTAGCTTCAGAGATCTGGGTTGCTGGCCTGGAGGTCTCTATTGCTGCTGCCTCCTCTGTTTGAGGAAATTCTAACTGCTGGGATTAGAAGGCTGAGGAGATTCCGGCCTGGAGGGGACCACCGCTGCTGCCTAGGAGAGTCCGATTGCAAGAACGGAAGCCTGCAGGTTGACTGAAGGAATTTCAGCAGCTGGGTGGAAAATTTCAGCTGCTCGACTGTTGGTGGAGAGGCTCCGATGACTTAAAGAAGAGCTAGGTTTGTTTCTTTGCTTTGATATCATGTAGAATTGATGTGGAGAGAAATAATTCTCTTTTAATTTTCTTATTCATATGTAGGGCACACATATGTAGGAAAAACAATCTCTCCTAATTTATAAATTTACCAAATATATTTAACCTCTATTAGGAAAGGAAATAATTCTCAAATAAAAATAAAATAACACAGAATAGAGAAGGAATAAACTAACCAAGGGTATTCTAAGTCGTCCCAATTAAAATTAAATCCTTTGCAAGATCTTCTCAGTTTTCCACATCGTGCAGTATATATTTTAAACTGCATTCTTGGAGGATTCCAAATCACTAGTATTCTGTGTCCTAATTGAAATGTTTCATACCCCGGGTCTATATTTTATCTTGTATAGAGAGCCTCTTGTTTATGTGTTCGCTTGATAGAAAACTGGTCACTTTCATCGATCACACGCCTTTTGAAACATTGGTTTCTCCACTATTGCAAATTTGTTTGATGTCGTAAAAGCAATGTATACATTAACAGAATTTAATTTTAAAGAGCGCAAGTGGAAATTGACATAAGGAGCTGAGAAGGTAATGTTATTGAGTAAAACTCGACAATGGCCTTGTGGAGTTATTCCAATTGCAAGATAGTTTCCTTCGGGTGAATACTCCGAACTTCAAATAAAGATGCAGTGAGGAACATAATTGGAACTTTGTTTTGGATACTTCCTTCAAATAAGATCAAATTTCACTAACTTTCAAAATATTTAAGCTATGCATTATGCACAGAAATTTAGCACACTTGTGAATGGCCTGCACTGAGTTGAACGATTTTACGAATTTATGCTTTAGAGTGTAGTCAATCAATTGAACTTTATTAGGTAACATGAGCCTGGTTTTAAATCTAAAATATATGAGAAGCTCATAGATTATTTTTTTATTTTTTTTTACTTTTTGTTCTTGTTTTTTTGTTTTAATTTATTTGGAAAATATGAGTTTTGAATTATTTACACTTAACTACCTACACAGAAGAAAGATTTGATGATATGTTTTCACATTCTTATTTTTTAATATATATGCCATGCAGGAGCCGGAGCCGGAGCCGGGGCCGGGGCTT